TGACAGGAGACAGATTCTTTGAGCTGATTTTCATGAGTTGATCCCACTGAGCCATTTTATCTTTCAGTCACTTTGTAACTTTTGGCAAATCACTGTGAGAGTGTTATCAATTACATCTCTCTTGAAGTATCTCAGAAGATCCTATTGACATGTCATTTGAAATCGCAACTGATCAGAGTCATATAGATGCAGGCAGGTGTTTTCTGTCCCTTCTCCAATTAGGGGTCAGTGGAGTTAGAAGCAAAGTCCCTGAGGTGACAGGTGACACCACCCACGAGGAATTGCACTTTTTTTCTCTCAGCCTCCCTTTTTATCTGTGCACAGGGACAAGTGACTTCTCCAGTCAAGTAGGCACACCTTTTCTGTGCATTGGTGACCTCAACCAGAATTTCCCTTCCTAGTAAGGTACTCCTCCCCCTCAGTTCTGCTTAGCGTATAGTTTAGATTAGGAGTGGAGCCGGGCAGGGAATCTTGGAAAAGCCATTGTCCCCTAATTGTGTTTATCATAATTTTGTGATGTTGCTTTCCTTTTTGGACTTTTAACAGTTTCACATTTGTATCTGCTGCTTAGTCTATGAAGAACAGAAAGTTTTTTCTGAGGCCTGGCAAACATAAAGCTACTTTGAGTGTTGGGCAAGGACCTAGGCCTTTCCAGAAAGCCCCCCTCCCTGGCTTCTGAGAAACACTGCTGATAGGAGGGCAGGGGTCTGCTCGTTTTTGTTGTGCTGTCTTTGAGTGTCTTTCTCTTCTTCCTCCCCACCTCCTCTTCCCCCTCCTTCTCTCCTACCTTTTCTTCCTCCTCCTCTATTCCTCTTTTTGGTGAAAATGCTTTGCCAGGCAAGTTCAGTGTCTGGATTTGTGGTGAACTCTCAGAACCTCCTTAGGCTAACCATCGGGAAGGTCACTGACACAAAGGGTAAACTGAGGAGCTTGTTTAACAGAGCAAGTTGGCAGTGTTAGACCGAGGAGGACAGAGTGGGCACTGGGTCACCCCAGCCTTTCCTCAGCCTTCTGGAGCTGCAGCTTTTCACAGACATACGCTCTGCACAATATGCCTTGCAGAACTACTCACACATGTACACGGATGAAAACTAAGACACACATTTTATAATTGTTTACAATCACAAGAACTTGAAAATTACTTAAATATCTGCCTGCTAGTGGAAGAATCCTTAGATTAATTATGTGCACCATGAGGCAGAACATTGTGTTCCTGGTGAGATAGCACTAGAGGCAGTGAGTGGAGGAGTTTGGAACATACTGATAAGTGAAAAAGTTTATTTGTATTTGCATATTAAACATATTTAAATATGTGTATATAGACACAAAAATGTCTGGAAGGATATGCTATAAACTAATGTCATAAGAATAGGGTTAAAATGAAGGGGCAGTATGTATTTTGCTTTTTAGTTTATATACATTTGTGAGATTTACTCTTTAAATTTTTTTATTTATATTTTATGTGTATGAGTGTTTTGCCACACGTAAGTGCTCCACATATGTGCATGGACTTGGAACTGGAGTTAATAATGGTTGTAGCCTACATGTGGGTCCTCTTCAAGAACAGCCAGTGCTCTTAACCGTTAAGCCATCTCTTCAGCCCCAGAGATTTACTCTTTTCACAATAAATGATGAGTTTCATAATTTGAAAGTTAACAAATATGATCTGTTGAGAAGCAAATGATATATTAACACCAGTGGCTTTTACTGGTGTGGAATGATTTCCTCTTTTCTTTTCCCTTTACTTTCCTTTCATCTTCACCTCTGTCTTTCTCTTTTGTATTTAAAATTTTTTTTGAGAATTTCATATATGGGTATTGTATTTGCATTATTTTCATCCCTCCCAGTCCCCCTCTAATTCCTCCTATGACCTCTCACTCGCTTGCAATTTCTCGTCCTCTTCTTTGATTGATATTGTTACATATATTTCCATAAATTTACAAACACACACACACACACACACACACACACACACACACGGCACTGAGTCCACTTAGTGGTGCTCCTGTGCACCTGTGTTTAGAGCTGCCCACTTGGGATTAGATAACTTCTCAAGGAGCTAGTCCCTGGAGAAAACTGATCCTTCCTCCCTCCCTCAGCATCCAGTGATAGCTCTCTTCATCTAGAGGTGGGACAGGCAAGGTTTCACTCTGTAACGCAGGCTGAGCTGGAACTCACCCTGTCACCCAGACTGACCTTGAATGCACACAGTCCTCTGCCTCAGCCACCAGAGTACTAGGATTGCAGGTGTGAGCCACCACATCTGGCTTGTAAATTTGGATTTCTGTGTGGAAATTCTTATGTTAAGAAACACTGAGGGCTCACTGGGCTATTGCCTCCTTGTTAGATAGTCCTCTTTTTGATTTTCATGGTGTGATGTGAAATGACTACCTCTCTGTGTTTTCACCTGTATTGTTGAAAGGCTATATTCTCAATGAATATCAAAGGATCTCTAGTAAATGGATCAAATCACCCTTACTTTAAGAATTAGAAAAGTGTTCTTCAGGCTGATGTGTGGGAATGTCAGAGTTTCTGTGTTCTGGTCTGTCATTACAGCTATACACCCATCATGGTTCTGGACTTGCTGTCTATCAAAAGGAAAGGGAATTACTCACAGATAAAGTATATTTGGTATGAAAGTTAAACATTAGAATGATGACTTGATTTTAAAAAACTTTTACTTATTCTTTGACAGTTTAGTACATGTATGTGCTATTTCTTGATCTTGATCCCATCCATCCCAACACCCCTCCCTACCCTCTGCAGACACTTGTCTCTTCCCCCTTCACGTCCTCTTTTTTTTTTCTTTTCTTTTTTGTAATCCACTGAGTCCAGTTAGTGGTGCCTACTGGAATACTGACTGCTAATCATTTTGAAAAATCCATCATATTTAAGTTTGGTGAACAAAGCATAAATAACACAGCTTAAAGGCCCTCATTTCATCATATTTGTGTTTTCAATTTTAATCCAGAGCCCAGATTACTTTCTACCAGCTTTCTAGATGGGAATGAAGTTTTTGTTTATAAATTCATTTAATCTGGACTAAAGATTTAGGGTATTGAATTATTTTTATTATTTGATGGTTTCATATCATTTACTTTCTTACAGATAATTGAGTATTACAATTCCAAATGCCTTGTAGTACATATTAGTGAAACAGTGATGTACAGTGAAAACAGTCAGCACATTAACATTACTTCTGCCTGTGCTTGAGCTCTATAAGCAAAATTTAGTGTGCTTTCATCATTTATGCCTTGATCGTGGTCTATTGCCATAGGACAGTTAAGACATACCTGTGAAAGCTCAGCTTGCAGTTTCACATAATGGGTAGCAGGTTATATTTTTTAGTTATGTAAACAATTTGTTTGAAGTACAATTAGATAATATTATATTTTTAAATTTTGATCTTTTAATTTTTCCCTTTTTATGGTACTGTGGATCAAACGTAGGGCCTTGTGTATGTTAGGCAAATATTATACTACTCAACTATATCCTCAATCTGTTAGAAAAACATTTTGTGGGACTGGGGTGATGGTCAGTTGGTAAAGTGCTTGCTGAGCAAGGATTAGAACCTGAGTTGGTTCCAGCACCCACCCATTAAAAGAAAAGCTGGACCACCTGGTTCTGGGGAGGCAGAAACAAGAGGATTCCTAGAGCTGGCTACGTAGCCAGTCTAGCCTAATTGTGAGCTCTACATCCCAGGGAGAGACCCCTGCCTCAAAAAGCAAGGTGGGTGTTTTGTGAGGAAAGACGCCCAAGGTTAAAAACTCTGACCTCCACATGTACACACCCACGCACCCATACACATACACCATTTTGTATCTGAAAGAGTTTGGTCACTCAGACCTGTAGCTAAGATGAGGTATAGTTTCTCTGCCAATTAAACACATATAGGTGAATTGATAGTTTTGTCGTCTTCATCAGCCAGCATCAGTGAGTATTCTGCTTATGGGGTTATGGTTGTTAAGGAAGCAGATTATCTGGTTTTTTGACATGAGACCCAGAAGTACCTGTGAAGTCTTGAACATGAAGTGTAGAGTATAGTGTTCCCAACATTTTATCCTTTTGTTATTACTCTGACTCTTCCCTGAAGGGAGGGGCTGTCCTAACATAAAGGCAACACCCCTGAGTTATTAGTGGTGTGTTGAGGAAGCCAGGCACAGACAATGATTCCAACTCTCTGTGCTCTGCATCTGGTAGACCCTGTGTGTGTGTCTGTCAAAGGAAATTGCTTCCCACTAGTTTTGCTTACTTTTTCTTTTCTTTTTGTCTTTCAAAGACCTACCTTCTCCACCCTACTGTTCTTCCCACTTGTGACATATTCTCCTCATTGCAACATGAGAAACAAAGGGATAATTTTATGAGGACATTTTTGGTGCTCGTGCTGAAGCACTGGCGATGTTTATAAGACTGAATTTATGAATTGTCTTTTTCCCCCCAAACCCAGACAATTCCTTTTGCCAGATGGATTTCTGACCTGATGGTAGCCAGTTATCTCCTCTGTGTGTGTGTGTGTGTGTGTGTGTGTGTGTGTGTGTGTTGTATTGTGTGCCACAGCCCATGTGTGGAGGTCAGAGAACAACTTGAAGTTGGGTCTCTTCTACCATATGGGATCCAGGGATCAAACTCAAGTCATCAGCTAGCCCTTTACCAGCTGAGCCATCCTGATGGCCCAGTTGTATACAGAAACTACTTTTGGAATTTATTAATCTTCTGCATTTTTTTCTGTCCTTGTTGAGTTTTCCAAAGTATAGATTTCTTTTTTATTTAAACAAAAACAAAATGCTAGCAATCTCCCTCCCACTCTCCTTCAGCTGCCAGCTGTTACTTGGAGTTAGCTTACTTTCAGGTGCTTTGCAATCACTGGTGTTTCCAGGAACTTGTGGTTACATTATCTGCTGACCACCTCCCAGGTTTACCTGTGAGCACTGGCCTAGGTGGGGCTTGGCTTGAGTCCCACAGGCACTGGTGTGTAGTGATTTTTCATTTCTTGTTCTCAGTGCTATTGCTTCCATCCTGAGGGCCTGGCTTGACCAGTGTGCAGAAGACTTCCGGGAGCCCCCTCACTTCCCTTGCCTGCAGAAGCTGCTTGACTATCTCAAAGGGATGATGCCTGGCTCCGACCCAGAGAGAAGGGCACAAAACCTTCTGGAGCAGTTCCAGAAACAGGAAGTGGATACCGACAGTGAGTACCTGCTTGGGTCCAGGAAAAAGCTAAATTCTTATTCTTCAGCATGGAAGTTCTCCAGTTATTGTCAGAACAGGAAACCATGGTACTCTAGGGATGCACTGCCAGAAAATTGGGGTGGGTGTAAAACTATTGAAGTGCTAGCTTTAGGACCTTAGGGTTTTGGAGGGATTTTTCAAGACCACCTAGTTTAGCTTCCTTATTTTACAGATTAAATTGTGAAACTGGCTCAAAGTAGCTAAGTAATTTCCTGGGGTTTCTTCTGTTACCAAGAAGGGAGTTTCCTTGGTGATTTTCTTTAACCTTCTCTTGTCAGTATGTGCCATGTTGAACCTAAATTGACTATTTTCTGCCTAACATTTCTATCAAATGTAAACCCATCACAAACAACCAGCAGGCAAGGATTCAAGCCCAGTTTCCTTTCTCCTTCACAGGAGCTTGGAAGAGTTGGTTCTCCTTTAGCCTAGAAAGCATCTCTGTAATGCTTCCCCTGGTAGTATAGATTAATGTCAGTTAGCATCTCTAATGGTCTTATCAGAGGAAGTTTCAAAGACTGTTTTTTCCTAGTTGAGGTTGACCTTGTGTTTTCAAGGACAAAGGCAGGGACACCACCACTGCTGGTCATAGGGTTTGTAGGACCATCAGGCTCTGAAGAAATGAGTAAAGGGATTCTAATGGGCTTCCAGCACGATGATTTATCCCTTCCATGGGGTGCTGGGTAACCGTTTCCATGGTAGCTGACCCACTTGGAGCTTCCACAGTTCCCTGAGGTAATGCCTGCTTTCCTCAGTGAGGGAAAGGAAATGGGTCCTAAGGCAGATAAGGGATGGGGCCCCAGCACCAAAGAAAAGAAAATACAGTGACTCTAAATTCCACTCAATACCTGTTGAATATTTTATGTATGGTAGAACAGAGAAGGGGAATGCGATTGCATCATTAGGCACTGACTGCCAAGGGCTTTATATCTCAGATGACTTCATCTGCCAGGAATGCTTGAATACCAGGGGCGCTCCTCCAGCTGCTGGACCTCAGCTCCCTTCAGGGCCTCTGGCCTGGCTTTGTGCTAGAGTGGAAAATGCTGTGTTAGAGCCCAGCGTTCCCCACTGGGGCTGCCCCTGGCTCCATGCCTAATTGGGGGAACCAATGGGACCAGTCATTGGTTGTCTCCAGCACAGGGACTGGAGGGCAGAGCTCATTTGGCAGGCAGAGGCAGGAAAGAGGGAGGTGGCCTGACTTTACAGAAACTTTTAGGCAATATCTAAGAATGAATCTTTTTCTAAGTTTGGAAAAATTGTAATCAAGAAAGCTCCAGACCCTGTTTATGGAGCACAGGAGCCATTCCTGAGAAGGAGTGTTAGGAACTTGGTTCTGGTACTCATTCTCCATCTCACGCTGGAGAAAGCAACAAAGCTTTCTCCATGCTTCTCAAAAGTAAAATTGTGCTTGGAGTTTTTTACTTACTCCTGGAAGAGAGTCAGAAGCTGGAGCAGGGAAGACATGGGTTAGGTACCAGAGAGAAAGGATCATGTGATCTTCACATATAGTGACATTCTAGGTGCACATTAGACCAACACAAGTGTTCAAATGAGTGAATGAATGATGTCAAGTTTTAGCCTGTACATTTCTTGGCTGAAGTGGGACAGCTTCTGCATTGCTTTACTTATATTAAGGTATATTGTAGTTGTCAAGAGGGATGAGAGTCCCCTTTGAACCTTTGGTTAGCATCCCCAAATTTCTTTTTTCTTTTTTTTTGTTAATATTTTTATTTACATAAATAATTTATTGAGAATTTCATACATGTATATAAGGTGTTTTGATCAAATCCGTGCCCACTCCCTCCCCTCCAACTCCTCCCACATCTCGACATCACTTTTTTCTGATAACTTCATGTACTCTTTCTTCTTCTTTGATTTTAAATGGGGCTTTTGGATGCTCTAACATTCCCCCTTCTGAAGAGGTAACCCTAAAATCTTTTAAGGATTAGATAAACGCTCCCAAATATTTTCGACAGTTTTGGCTTTTGGAATGGAGTAGTTTGCAAAGAATCCCAAGGACATTGTGAGTTTTAGCCAAGAAACTGGCTTCTTTTCTTTGGGGTG